ATTACAAACAAAAGTCACCATGATCTCTGTTGTCTTTAAATTCTGTGGAGAGTCAGCTGTAACGTTAGTGATTCCTTAGTTTTTTTTTGTTTTGTTTTGTTTTTGATCCAGTCAACTTGTTACTGAAAGCTAACGTTAGCACTGAACATCAACCAGATGTAAACATACGGCAAGCCAGGAGAGACAAAATATAAATACGGGCCTCAAACACGCGCACGAGACACCATGGGGAAGAATCGATCTCATGTCCTGTGAATCGATTTTCCCAAATTTAAATGAAATCGATCCAAGATCGATTAAATCAATTTTTTTTTACCCAGCCCTATTGTTGAGTGGAAAACAAACAAAACACAGAGTCGATGTAAAATAAGTAATTTTAAAAAGTCATCTTGTTTGTGAGGTCATTGAGTTATTGATGATTTATTCTGACTGACACCTGATCAATCAGTGTGGTTGCATCACTGATTCCCTCTGCTTCTGGCTGATGTCAGCACTTCCTGTTTGGGTTTAAATCATGACATGAGGCGTCTGCACCATCACACCACATCCATCAGTGTTCCTCTCATTAACTCTGTGGTTTCATCTCTAACCGTTCAGCTCTTCTGTTATTATCAGCTCAATGGTYGATGCTGAGTCTGATCTCGATCAGCTGATTTTCAGAGCTGGTTCAACTCTTCTCCACGTGACGAAGTTCTTGTTTGTGTCTGTGGCACCATCCACATGTTCGCACACATCACAAGACCCGCGTCCTGACCCGTTCCAGTAGAGATCTCCTGAGGTCATCACTATTCATGTTTTGGAAGAGACACGTCGCTGCGTTCTGATTGGCCGACCTGTCAGCCAGACAGTTAATCAATAACTTGGTCGATATAAAGAGGGAGGAAAGGTTAAGTGTATTGGAAGTTGTTGCTGTTTTAAGCTGTTAATATCTTCATGGCCAGTCTTGTGCATAATGACTGCATTTAACAGGGATAGTTACATTAAACATCCTGGTGTTATATGGGTTTTAGAGTTCATTAAATTTGTATTTTGCCTTTAAAGTTTATAAAATGAAGGTTTTATATCAGATCCTCTGGACTTGAGTGGAAAGGAAATTACCTGGAACAACATATGGGCAGAAAAAAAAAGAATCTCTCTCTGCGTTTTTTTCTCAGTGAGCCTCTATGAGTGTCGATGAGAGCGGAGCTGGAAAATCTGGGTTCATGAGTCGAGGGAACAGTTCTCCCTCTGTCTCACTCCTGTTAGGAAAATTATAAACAACTGGAGGAGCTTTAATTTTCCTCTCCCCTCCAGGCAAATTCTGTCCCAAAATTTACACGACACTTTGTTTTTACCTGTAATATTAACCAGCAGTTCAGAGCAAAAATGTCAAAGCTTAAAAGTTATTTAGGAGAAGAAACTTCCTGAATAAAATAGTAGTGCCTCAATACTAGTACTCACATACTCGCTGATACCTCAGACATGTCTCTCTTTAATGCTTGGTGATGTCACTTCCTCTTTCACTTATCAAGTAACTGAGGCAAAAAATATAAAAATTRAAAGATTGCTGTGTTATTAATTAAATAAATGTGTTCTGTCATTCTGTAATGTTTAATACTAACTTATTAGGGGAGCAAAGATACAGAAAATTCACGATTCGATACTTTAGTGTGATGGTGGGATGTTTTTTCGATACAAAAAGAGAAATGTCCATGTCCTTCTCTTAACTTGTAATTTATTGAAATTAATTATGAACATTTGTTTAACCTTTAAAAGTACAGTTTTTAAATTAAATGTTGTTGAAACAGCAGGTTTCTCAGTGGATCTCTGCTCCACAATACAGCCTAGGTGGAGTAGTCGAACAC